CCTACAAGATACCTTTTAATATAATTTTTATCTCATATTATAGTCTAGACATCACATACTATATTTTCAAATAAAAAAAAAAAATTCTTACCAAAATCTTGCTGCCACAATAACAGCGTAACAACAAAGATCTGTGAGTATAAAAAACATTTTTAACCATAATTTATATATAATTATAATTATAAGTTTTGCAGTAGTAGCTTAGTGAGGTCATCGCTTTAATTTGCATTGAATTTCCTTATCCCCGTATGATTACTAATAAACAATTAGTAGAGCTGCGCATACCTAGCAAAACATTATTATAGAAAGATTAGATTTAAGGCTTGAAATAATTTCAGACCCGAAGGAATTTTTAATTCATGTCGTCTGTTAAGTTCCCAAATCTATGCCTAATGAGTTACCGAGAGCGCCCCCATAATTTCGATGACACAACTTATGGTAACTATCTCACAATTATTATTGCTGCGAAGCAGCCAATTCATATTCTGGACAGGTTCTGAAAGGTCATTGTTTGTCAAAAAACAAGGGCCTAGAGACGACTGAAAAGCGGAGTTTCCTTCTTTCGTTCTGCCGTGTAAAATCAATTACTTTAGGCGACGTTTGTAGACTAACCTACACGTACCAACGTCCGCATGTCGCGACGCTCGAGTATTACTATTCAGCGTTTTTACTATATTTCTAGGTTTCCTATTTCTATGTTTAATCGGCCCATGTCTCAGCCACAATATTTTGAGGCCAATATTATTTACGAACCCAGTTAAACTTATTTATTAGCCTATTTCAGCGTACTAATTATTACACTTAGGCGACGCTTGTTGTAGACTGGCATACACGGTACCAACGCTCGTTTTTACTATGTTTCTACGTCAGCTCGAGACGATTGAGTATAATTTACTATTCAGCGTTTTTATTATAACCATGGGTGGTATAAATGTCAACTCGGCCCAAGTCTCGGCACAGTATTTTGAGGCCTATTATTTACGAACCCAGTTAAACTTATTTATGTCAACGTGATAATTATTACATTTTAAAACAATAATTAAAAATGTATTATACTAGGGGCCGCGAAACTGTGGCCAAGTTGACTTGGTGCCGAGTTGACTCGAATTCGATCATGCTTACGTTGTGTGGTGCGTTGGCAGCATAGAGATAATAGGAATACTAGAGCGCTAACTGCAATGTATTCGATGTTCGAAATACGCAGAGCTGTGTGTACCATCCAAGATGGCTGTCATAGATTTAGCCAATCAAATTCGCCTAAGCACCATCGTTTGCAATTGCGCCCTCAATTTACACAGAAAGTTCAGTACAGCTAGTTACCCGTATGTTTGAAACTCGAGCGTTGCAGGTGTATGGGTGTAATCTACACGATTTTAATCTTCATTCCTTGGTATTTTTGAATAAGATGCTCCACCTGGCCTTGTTTTGGCTACGATAGTTTAATAATTTGATATTACCATTACTCAATATCATTAATGAAATATTAATATTCAGTCAGAGGGCTTATTTATGGTAATAATATGTATACCAAGCCTGAAGGTGGCGCTTTACTACGACCGCCATCTTGCATGGTACACGTACATAACTCTGCATTGTTTCGCCATCTTGTCAGTACTCTAGTTGTTTCATAGCTCTATGGTTGGCAGTCAACTCGCCTCTACAAACTCGCCCCTAGAAAATTCGCCACCTTGAAAACTCCCCATACTAAACCATCTCACCAAATCAAAAATCCTACATAGGCCTAGACTAGCTAGGATGTTATAGGCCTAGCCATGAAGGGACGAAGGTCCCAATGAAAAACAACGTCGCTCCTTGATAGCTAACATCTTCTATTTAACATCACAATAATTCATTATTAGACCTATAGTTGTTTTTTGAATTGTACTCCACAATTCTCAGCCGATACCTCGCACAACTCGTTAACGTTTCGTATCTATTGCCGTGACGTCATGGCTCGCTGGCTCACACTTGTGATCAAATAACACGCTGGCTCGCACTTTGGCAACACTCTTTGGCAGTCAACTCGCCCCTAGAAAACCGGCCCTTGGAAACTTGCCCCATAAACAAATGTACACTTCCTAGACCATGCAGTCTTCAAAAAAAAATTTGTAACCTTTGGTAATCAACTACATTTTCCACATACATAGAAATTTTTGAAACTTTATTAAAAAAAAACCTAAACCATAATTCACCATTATAGACACTTTTTGACAAAAATGAAAAATTACGACTTTGTCACCCAATGAGAAGTGTTCTAATATAGA